AAATTCTCGAAAAAGGTTGTTTTTCTAGGATTTCAGAAGGGACGTTAGGCACTTTTTTGGCGTGGTTTTGGAACTAGTTCGTCCTTCAGAGCCATGGTGTTTTCCTACCGGGAGCTGCTTTTTTCGAAGTTGTTTTCCTACGAGCGGCCGCAGGCAACAAAAATTCTCGAAAAAAGTTGTTTTTCTGGGATTTCAGACGGGACCGGCCGACGCAAAGGGGAGCTGCCCGCAGGCAGCAGCAAACAGCAGGCAACAGGCAGCAGCAGGCAGCAGCAGACACAAGTAGACGCAGCAGCAGTAAGCGCAATGGTAGCAGTGCAGCAGCTAGCAGCACGAAAAATTGCGTTTTTCTAGGATGGCACTAATGGGTGTCAAGAACGTGGGCAAGAGCACGCAAAAGGTGCACATAGCCAGTAGCTAGCAGCCAGCGCCAGTAGCAGCCAGCAGCCAGTAGCCAGCAGCCAGTAGCCAGCAGCCTACCAAAAATCTAATCTAGATTTTTCTAGGATTTCAGACGACACGTTGGGCACTTTTTTGGCGTGGTTCTGGCACTCGCTCGTCCTTCAGAGCCCTGGTGTTTTCCCCCCGGGGAGGTGATTTTTTCGAAGTTGTTTTCCTGCGAGCGGCCGCAGGCAACAGAAATTCTCGAAAAAGGTTGTTTTTCTAGGATTTCAGACGGGACGTTAGGCACTTTTTTGGCGTGGTTTTAGGACTAGTTCGTCCTTCAGAGCCATGGTGTTTTCCTGCCGGGAGCTGCTTTTATGCTTTTTTCGAAGTTGTTTTCGGAAAAAGGTTGTTTTTCTAGGATTTCAGAAGGGACGTTAGGCACTTTTTTGGCGTTGTTTTGGAACTAGTTCGTCCTTCAGAGCCATGGTGTTTTCCTGCCGGGAGCTGCTTTTATGTTTTTTTCGAAGTTGTTTTCCTGCGAGCGGGCGCAGGCAACAGAAATTCTCGAAAAATGTTGTTTTTCTAGGATTTCAGACGGGACGTTAAGCACTTTTTTGGCGTGGTTTTGGAACTAGTTCGTCCTTCAGAGCCATGGTGTTTTCCTGCCGGGAGCTGCTTTTTTCGAAGTTGTTTTCCTGCGAGCGGCCGCAGGCAACAGAAATTCTCGAAAAATGTTGTTTTTCTAGGGATTTCAGACGGACGTTAGTACTTTTTGGCTGTTTTGGAACCTATTCGTCCTTCAGAGCCATGGTGTTTTTCCTGCCGGGAGCTGCTTTCGAGTGTTTTCCTGTCGAGCGGCCGCAGGCAACAGAAATCTCGCAAAAAGGTTGTTTTTCTAGGATTCAAGAAGACGTTAGGCACTTTTTTGCGTGGTTTGGAACTAGTTCGTCCTTCAGAGCCATGTGTTTTCCTGCGGAGCTCTTTTTTCGAAAGTTGTTTTTCCTGCGAGCGGCCGCAGGCAACAGAAATTCTCGAAAAAGGTTGTTTTTCTAGGATTTCAACGGGACGTTAGGCACTTTTTTGGCGTGGTTTTGGAACTAGCTCGTCCTTCAGAGCCATGGTGTTTTCCTGCCGGGAGCTGCTTTTTTCGAAGTTGTTTTCCTGCGAAAAAGGTTGTTCGTCCTTCAGAGCCATGGTGTTTTCCTGCCGGGGGCTGCTTTTATGCTTTTTTCGAAGTTGTTTTCCTGCGAAAAAGGTTGTTTTTCTAGGATTTCAGACGGGACGTTAGGCACTTTTTTGGCGTGGTTGTGGAACTAGTTCGTCCTTCAGAGCCATGGTGTTTTCCTGCCGGGAGCTGCTTTTTTCGAAGTTGTTTTCCTGCGAGCGGCCGCAGGCAACAGAAATTCTCGAAAAAGGTTGTTTTTCTAGGATTTCAGAAGGGACGTTAGGCACTTTTTTGGCGTGGTTTTGGAACTAGTTCGTCCTTCAGAGCCATGGTGTTTTCCTGCCGGGAGCTGCTTTTTTCGAAGTTGTTTTCCTGCGAGCGGCCGCAGGCAACAGAAATTCTCGAAAAAAGTTGTTTTTCTGGGATTTCAGACGGGACGTTAGGCACTTTTTTGGCGTGGTTTTTGGAACTAGATCGTCCTTCAGAGCCATGGTGTGTGCGATTTGGTAGAAGCTGTTGTAGTGCAAGCAACCGCAGGCAACACCATCGAAGTTTTTTGCCTGCTAGCAGGAGGAAAAGTAACAGCAGCAAATAGACGACCCGCGGCAGCAGCAATAACAGCAGCAGAAGCTTTTGCCGCAACAGCAGCAGGAGCAGAAAGTTTTCATGCTGAGAGCTGAAGCAGACAAGCAAGCCGGAACTGGTCGTTTGTTGTTACTGTGCATGCCATTCCGTTCGGGGGCACACGCGGCCATTGGATTGTTTGTGTTTGCTTTGGATTCGCCCAAATTCTTTGGTGCTCTGGACGCAGGTTCCACAAGTAGGGCATATGTGCGAAAAGCGCGTTGCCGGCAGCGTCGGTCGAAGAAGGCCATCCTGCACGCGAAATTGTCTCCCACATACGCGTCGGTGGTTGACATGTCCGGAAACAATTGACGTAGTAACAGATTTTTGGCAAAAAGGGCATGAGTACACATACAGCTTTTGTGGTGGTGGCTTTTGCTCCATGTCTTTTGGGATTGCAACCTCGTGTGTACCTTCTTTTTCGCTGGTCATGGTTTGGCCCGTGTGTTTTTTTCTGTATTCTGCGATCGCTTGCCATGTCTCGCGTAGCACTTGGGTTTGACGCAATTTTTTGCGAAGAGGTTCCAGTCGGCTTATGGTCGATGCAGCAGCCCGCTTGCGGAGAACTGCTTGCGCAACGACAGCGCGGCATACATTGCATATTTGTGTGCCGTTTTCGCCAGAAGGCCGCTTTCCAATGAAATCAGAAAATTGCTGCTGCGGTTTGCGTTGGTGACAGGCTGCGCACTTCCAAGAACCACGCGTTTTCGTTTGGCACTGCAAACACACTCTTCGCGTAGGCTTCCTAGCCATCCACGCTGAGGCGCCGAAGTATTCTTTCGTTTGTTTGCTTTGGCAAACAAAACATTTTCTTTTAGCATCACACGACAGACAGACGCGATACATGCTCCAGCGGGGGTTTTGGTGCTTGCTTGCAAAGTGGCACGCAGCGTGCCACAGGCCACACTGCGTGCATCGATACGGTGTGCCTGCCTCGCGCTTCTGCGCAGTGCATTCTTTACAAACGCGGTGTGTCTCCTGTTTCCACTGCGCTTTGGTGAATGCATCTTTGCGTTTCATCTCCCCACACTCATGACATGGCCTCTCATCCAAGTACTTCTTGCGCAACGCGTCCCAGTCCACGTTCCTGCTTCCACACGTCAAGCAGAAGTTGCCTTCCAAGCGGCAGGCCCTCTTGAAAAGGCGCCAGCGGGAACGGACGGTAGATCAAGATCTTCTGCCGTGTGCGGCAGCGCGTCATCCCAATGTAAGCCGCTATTGGGTCTGCACCGATCATGTCCACAATCACGCTCGGCTCTATTGTGCTTCCTTGCGCGCCATAGAACGTGTCAGCGAAGTCGGGCGCAATAGGAAATTGGTATCGCGTCACTTTCAATTTTGGGTTGGCGCGGCCCGCGTCCAAAAACCACAGTCCACTTTGCACGCTGACTGGAAAGACGTTCTCTTCATCGATGTCTGGGATAGTCCACCGTGTGCGTGTTTCAAAACGCACAAAAATATACTCAGGAAGTTTGTTCCAAATGATTGCTCCGTCTGCCGATTCTGTTTCTGTTTCGACGCGAGACCACCCGCAGACTGTTCCATGGCATCCTTTCAAAATCTTGAACTCTTTTCGGTAGAGATGTTCTCGCGCTTGCACGGGCATACCTATGCACAGCGGAAGGACGCCGTACCGGTTGCCGCAGTCAGCGTCGCTGCGCTGCAGCCATGTGAGCTTATCGTGGGCGATGTCGGGCTTCTCGTGCAACGCTCGTGCCGAGACTTTGTCCGTAGCTACTGCATAGCAAATGACCTGCCCACGCTGTCGCGCCCATTGTTCCGCGCGAAGTTTGTTTACTGGTGCGAAGCAGTCCATCGCCAAGACAAGCGCTGCAAAACCATGGGAAACACTGCTGCTACGAGCTGGGATGCACCAACACCATACCGGGATGAACCCCATGCTGAACCTGAAAAATGGGTAAGTTAACAAACATGCCAACTCAAATAGGATGATGTGATACAGTACCTTAAATTCTTTTTGCCTGTAGCTACCACCAGGACGATCACAAGATCAAAACCCCCCATGTTTTCACCAAATTCATCTACTAAATACTGATAATAATTTAATTGTAACAGTGATAACAATATATATATATATATATTCTGATGCTGAAGCTAATGATGCTGCTGATGCTGCTGACTTGGGCCCATGTTTTTTTCTTTCCATTTCACAAACCCAATTATTACGATGTGCCTTTTTCCTTGCGAAGCCTACGACTCACGCAAGGGTGGTCAGACACACCATCCTAAAAAGAAATGGAAAGAAAAAACCATGAGCACAAACCAACAATTCCGGTCAAAAACAAAAAGATAATGGAAAAACACAAAAACAATCAAACAATGAAGAAGTGACAGAACCGTTAAGTCATCAAGAAATAATAGACAATCTTAATGATACATTCCCTTCTTTTCAAATCTTAGTTGAATAAATGAAAACTTTAAAACCCTAACAACCTCAACAAATCCTGACCCAATCAATGATACTCCCCTAAAATAATCAACAAGGTTAGGATGAAACGTTTTTACCAAAAATGTCTTACAACATACATCACAAAAAACATCAACACCAAGGAACGCACGTTCCCCTTTAACATAAAAACCATAACAGGCAACAATGCGTGTAAAACTGTCCCAGGAACATCCTTTCCCCATTTTTTTTTGGGGGGGGGTGCAGGCCTGTACCATATATACGTTCTGACGGCTTGCCAATTCTTCCGGGGTCGGCGGCAGGGGCGGCAGCCCTTAAATATACTGATGATACTTCATAGCCTGCTTGGGAAAATATTCGGACATGATGGGTTGATTTGATTATTTTCATTGATCGCGAACGAGGAATTTCAACACATCTCAGGAAATATGAGGAATTCAAAAGTGATAGATATCCAACCAAATCATTGGCCAAAGGTCTAGCACGGCATGTGAAGTGGCCAGCTCATCTTGAACCTTACCTATCAGAGACTTCGTGATGTCATTGAGATTTTGCACCTGGAATCTTGGTATATGACAGGTTTCCATTGGTTTCCAATCTTCACAGCCTCCAATCTGCTAAAAACACACCGGATCAAACAGTTCACTATGGACACCCAAGGGGTTGCATCAACCTTCGTGACTAGCTGACAGTATCGGACAGTCCTGGGTCCGGTCAATGGCTTTCTGCAAGAAAGTGTTGAAAGCATCCAGGGAGTACTGATACATGTGTTGCACCTGGGGATGCGGCAGTGATCTCCAAAAATGACACCGGAAACGAGCAGCCAAGAGTATTGGCAGTAGTGGTAAAGATCAATGGGTGAATCAAGAAGCTGCCAACTGGGGATGATAGTGGATGATTTAAACCATCCCTTCCACGCCCAGCTGAGGAAGCAGCTGTGGATAGTTCCACCACCAAGAAGAAGAGCATCGAGCCTCCCATTTGTTGCCCTTTGGAGGTTGGCAGCAGAGACGTTCTACAGAGATGTTCTACTGAGATCACACGTGGATTCTTGCTTTACCCTCCCTGTGAGCTGGAACAAAGTCCGCGAGCTCTTCGCGTTTGTCCAAAATTTGGGCACAAAACCTCATGCTTTGAAACATCCCGTTCTTCTTTTCGAAAAAACATGAAATACCATCAGTACCGCGCAAGGCGGTGGCGGAAGTTTCAAAGATAGGACACTATAGGAGAGGTGAGTTGCTGTGATGCATGGTTGGCAGTGGTCACCTCACACACAACTGCTGGATGTAGTGTGGTGTAGTGCAGCTGTAGTTGTAGTTGTAATGTAGTGAAGTTGTAGCTGTAGTGTGGTGTAGTGTAATTAGTGTAGCGTAGTTGCAGTTGTAGTTGTGGTGTGGTGTGGTGAAACGAGCGCAGTGTAATGTAATGCAGTGTGGTGCGCTGTAGTGTTGTGTGCTATAATGATCCCTACCCCTATAGAGGGGGAGGGTGGGGGGGGGGGACAAAACCAACCTGTCGAATTCCACTTTTTTTTGCTTGGAAACGGAGGAGCTAAGCGCAAGTATGATCACGGCAGCGCAATTTTTTGGAGGGATGCCATCCCTACACATGTGCTGCTTCAGTCTGACATGTGCTTAGCTCCTCCGGAGCTAAGCGCAAGTATTTAATTTTCACATGCTTGCCAATGACATGGAATGATGAGGAATATTGATCATTGAGAAAACATGATTGCAAAAATTGAATTTTAAAATGAAATTTCAGTACGACTCCCCCCCTCAAATTCCATTTTTAAGAGTGTAGGGATCTATAATGTAGTCTGGTGTAGTGTAATGTAAAGTAGCGCAGTTGTAGTTGTAGCTGTAGTGTCAGTTAGTGTAGCGTAGGGTAGCGTAGGGTAGCGTAGTGTAGTGTAGTGCAATTAGTGTAGGGTCGTAGTGTAATTTAGTTGTAGTTGTAGCTGTAGTTCCAGTTGTAGTGTAGTATAATGAGTGCAGCGTAGTGTTGTGTAATGTAGTTGTAGTTGTAGTTGTAGTTGTAGCTCAGTGTAGTGTAGCGTAGTTTAATGAAATTAGAGTAGTGTAGTGTAATGTGGTGTAGTTGTACTTGTAGTTGTAGCTGTACTGTAGTAGCAATAGTAGTTGTAGTTGTAGTTCTAGCTGTAATGCAATTAGTGTAGTGTAGTGTAGTATAATTAGTGTACTGCAGCTTTCTATTTTAGCATTTGCAGCTGTTGCGGTAGTGTAGTGCAGTGTAGTGCAGTGTAGTGCAGTGTAGTGCAGTGTAGTGCAGTGTAGCGCAGTGTAGTGCAGTGTAGTGCAGTGTAGTGCAGTGTAGTGCAGTGCAGTGCAGTGTAGTGTGGTTGTAGTGTAGTGCAGTGCAGTGCAGTGCAGTGTAGTGTAGTGTAGTTGTTGTTGCAGTTGCAGTTACACTTGTAGTTCTAGTTGTAGTTGTAGTTGTAGTTGTCTATCTACGTATCTACTTATCTACGTATCTAGCTATCTAGCAATCTATCCATCTATCCATCCATCCATCTATCTATCTATCCCTGTCTATCTATCTGTCTATCGATCTATCTATCTATCGATCTATCTATCCATCTATCTATCTATCCCTGTCTATCTATCTATCTATCTATCTATCGATCGATCTATCTATCTATCTATCTATCTATCTATCTATCTATTTATCTATCTATCTATCTATCTTGTCTATCTATCTATCTATCTATCTATCTATCTGCAAGCTTGAAAACGAAGCTATCCTGCGAGATTTCCTCAATTTTTGAACTTGACAACATCAGAAGCGCAGCAAGTCTGCGAGACGTCCTCAATTTTTCAAATTGACAACATCAAAAACGAAGCAGTTCTGCGAGACTTCTTGCAAAAATAAGAACGCTTAGTGCAAAGCTGACGGCCTCGTACCAATGCGTTTTGCGATTTGTCCACTCCATCTGTCTAAAGTACTGCGCCTGCCACGAAAAAGTGATGCCAGGTCATACGAAGTGCTGCACTTGTCACGCAAAATCATCTTAGCAAACCTGAAGATCTGATGCTCCAAAATGCAACCCCTCTCAGGAAATCAGCGCCCTGACCTCCTAACATCTCTGATGAACATGTCTCTTGTACTGCGCCTGCCACGCGAAATTCATCTTTCCAGATCCTCTTCAAATGTCCCACGCCTGCCATCGTTTTTGAAACTGCTACAAAACCCTCACGTTTTCCTCACTTTTGACAATGTGCACAATCCCTTGCGCCTGCCACGCGAAACGACATCTAAACGTCCAACATTGGTCCGAGACTGTCAGTTTTTGGCGCTTTTGACTTGGACATGTGCTTCGCGCCACAACGGCATGCAACTTGTCATCTCTCATCTGGCCACATGGCTCCGCACCCGCCGCTTTAGCGAGCCTACTTTTCCACCCTCGAGAGCCGCAACTCATTGGAAAAACGGAGTGACTCCCGACTTTCCTACCTTTTCGCGCACCTGGATCTTCTTTCTTCTTCTCTTCTCTTCTCTTCTCTGACTCTTCCCATCTCTGCTTTTCATCTGTCCATATTGTTGGAAGTTTGGAAGTTTGACTTCTAAACTTCCTTCGATAAACATGGAGGGGTCATCCCCCTCTTCAATCCGGTGAATTTCTGGACCCCGCTGCACTGGTTGCACCTTCAGCTGCCACTGGGCGGTAGAGCTCTCGGGAGTGGTTGATCTCTGCCTCGCAAGTCCACTTGAAGCGTTTCTTAGCAGCTTAGGAAAGCGTTTCATCTCTTCACATCCCATTTTTGGATCAAATGTTTCATAATTATATTGCGTCATTAAAATTTACGTTTCATTACTTGAATTCATTACGATTTCTATCACCGCTTTTATCACTTTTTTCCATTTCCATGGACATCCCATGGACTTGCTATCCGCTGCTATCCCGGCCCCAAAAAAAAATGCCATCCACCGTTTCAGCGTCGCATGTCGTCGCCTCGGTTTTCTCAGCTTCGGCCACCTGCAGCGCGATCTCCCGCGAGGTCTCCTTGGTCTTCTCCAGGCCCTGGCGACGCGACAACTTTCTCGGAGCCTTGGTCATGGCGTGTTTCAATTATGAATGAAGGTCAAAGGAAAGGGACAGATCTTGCATGATCTTAATGTTACGACATGTTACGGCATATATGGTTGGTCATCTTGTATTGAGTACTGACGCTGGTTTTTTTCTGCGGGATGGTTCCTTGTTCCTCTCCTTCGTTCATGGGAGCTGATTAATGATGGTACTGCTCCCAAAAAATGGTGCTCTGTCTCCACGGCTGGGCTGGATCCAGTGGGATTATGGGTTATAATTGGTATATAAAACCCAAAAACATAGCTAAACATATGGGTATCCATGATTTTAACACTGGATAGGAAAAGTATATTTGGTTCAATAATGTTCAATATTTTGCTACGCCGTGCTTTTTTTCACGCCTCGATCAATGGCAGGTTGTCCAAGATCGTTGCAGGATCTGCTGCCGACAGCTGCGACAGCAACTCGTCTTCCAGGCGCGAGAGCACCACCTGAGAGCAACAGGAAATCCTATGGAAATCCTATCTATGGAAAATGCCGCGGCTTTTGGGGAAGGACCATGTCTATATACAGATACAATCGAAATCTATGCAACAACCCAAGAGAACACTTGGAAGAAGTATGTCTGTAGATGTGAAAAATTCTGCCTAGAAATTCAGGAAGTGAATCTTAGCGTAAATCTTTGAAAACAGATGCCAATACAAGCGAGCATACAATAGTCTACGCCATGAAAACAAGTCCAATCTTAATTTTTCTATATCATGTGTATTTATCTATCCATATCTATCCATTCCAAAGTTTCTCTCTGTCTCTATATCTTCTGTTGTCCCATGTTGTCCCTCTTAGTTCGCAAGACAGAGAATCACCATGCACCGCATGCGCCTTGAACTCGTTCTGACGCCGCACCAGGATCTGATCGAAGCGAATTCGCATCCGTGGCCCCGGCGACCCAGGGTGAAGTACCAGCAACATCCAGCAACTACCCATCTGGATCTAGCATCATCTAGCATGATCTAGCTACATCGTAAAAAAATAACATGAATGGATTGCTATGATCAACCCATGAAAGGTTTTTGAAACAAACATTAACTCTCGCCCACTTCTTAAGTGATTGGATCCTCGCAGCTTTTGCAAGGCCTCTCCTGCCCAAGAGTCCCATCGGTTGCAGTCTGGCACCTGCTTTTCTTCCTCCAGCTGTGGCTTTTCACAGTTCACCACCAATGCCAAGATCTGCTCCTTCGCATCGGAAGATCTATGCAAATGTCTGAATACTTCGGGGACTCAAGCTGATGTTGAAGTGGGACTGGTAATCTGTCCAAAAACTTGAAAGCCAATTTGAAACTCTTTGGAATATATGAATTGAAAACGTCTATTCAAAAAAAACATCAGATATCATAAGATCCCTCCCTTGAAAAGATGCCGAAAAGAAGACGAAGCAACAGACCTCCAAGCCCTCTGGCGTCACGATAAAGTTCACCACGGTGCATTGGGCTGACACCTGACAGACGTCCC